CCCTCGCCTCCCCGCCAGGGACCTCCAGGAAGCCGCTGTGCTGAGCAACATCCGGACACGGTTCGAACGCCAGCTCATCTATGTAAGTGCCCTGCGCCCAGGGCCGTGGAGGCTGTAAGGGCTTTGGGAGCCATTGTGCCACCACTGGAGTGTGCGGCATCCCAGGGAGGCTCAGGACACCTGGGTCCTCATCCTGGTTCAGCACTGCTGGGGCCTTGTCCGTGCACCGCTGGACACGGGGTCTTTAGGGGGGGTCTTTCTGAAAGGGGGAGCGTTGCTCGCCAAGCTCCCACTGCCCCAAAGCCTGCCCCTCTTCACTGCCTCCACAGACCTACATCGGCAGCATCCTGGTTTCGGTCAATCCCTATCGGCTGTACAACATCTACGGGACGGAGCAGGTGCTGCAGTACGAGGGCAGGGCCCTGGGCGAGAACCCGCCGTGAGTACTGGGGCACTGGGCACCCCCATAACGCCTGGTGGGGAAAGGGACTCCCATGACGGCACTGGCTACCACCCTTTGCCCGTGCCCCAGGTTCTTGTAGGAGCCCCTGGGTGGGCTCTGATCCTTCAAGTGCCATGGCCCCACTGAGGCCTCTTGGCCACAGGATGCTGGAGCAGTTACCTCTGTGCTTGAGTGCTGCTTGGTGCTGGGGTCACCACCATGCTGCACCTCATTCCCCATGTGCATTTTGCCCCCCGCCAGGCACCTCTTTGCGATTGCAAACGTCGCCTACACTAAAATGATGGATGCCAAACACAACCAGTGTATCGTCATCAGGTGAGAAGCAGCTGGGACCCACATGTGCCATTCCCCCTGCACACCCCTCTCCTGGCTGACATCCCTCCAGGCTGCTAAGATGGTGTCCTTAATTAGCGCTGCACTGATTGCACGTTACACTGGGTGTCGGCACCCAGCATCAGCATAATCTCCCACCAGCATAGCCCAGCCTTGGGGTCGATGGTGTTGCGTTGGGTTGGGTTGGCTGCTCTTGGGATGGATGCACTTGGGATGGACACATGGGATGGACATGCTCAATGCTGGGCACATTTGAGGTGGATGCGCTTGGGATGGACATGTTTGAGGTAGATGCATGATTAGTATGGACACATTTGAGGTGGGTGCATAATTGGGATGGATGCCCTCAAGCTGGACATGCTTGGGCTGGACACGCTCGGGATGGATATGTTCGGGGTGGATGTGTTCCCTGGCCCTTGTGCTTGGCTGGTGATGGCCCCGGTTGTGTCTCTGCTCCTCGGTTCAGCGGGGAGAGTGGCTCAGGGAAGACAGAAGCCACCAAGCTGATCCTGCGCTACCTGGCAGCCGTCAGTCAGAAACGCAGCACAGCTCAGCAGGTAGCGTACCTCCATGCGGCTGGGCACGTGTGGCAGGCATGTCCCCGTCCCTACACCCTGCTGATGTGCTGCGCTCATGTCTGCCACTCTCCTTGTCCTCATGCTTCCACTCGGACCATGGCAGATAGAGGTACCCGGAGGGGGAAGCGTGGGCTGGGGCTGTTCAAGGGAGCTGAGTGTCATGGTGGCATCATCAGCACATCACCCCAGCTGCACGGGGACTATGGGTGTAGGATCCTGCCTGTGCGTGTGTGCATGGGGTCGTTGTGCCGTCCCACGTCCTTGCACAGCCCCGCAGTGTTGCACACATTGGCGTTTGTTGCCCCCAGCTTGTCTGCTCTGGACAGGAAGTGGCAGGAAGGGTGGCACGTCTGGGAAGGTGGCATGGTCCCCCTCACCCCAGGGGGACAACCTGTGACCATGGCGTGTTGGGGTGCCCAGACTGCAGTCTCATGCCATGGCTCTCCATGTCCACTGCGGGCAGATCTTGGAGGCAACCCCCTTGCTGGAATCCTTCGGCAATGCCAAAACCGTGAGGAATGACAATTCCAGCAGGTTTGGGAAATTTGTGGAAATCTTTCTGGAAGAGTAAGTAATGCTAAGCAACATCCGTGCATGTCCGACCCCAACCCTCCCATCCTCCCTGTCCTGGGGGTGCCACTGTGGCTCACCCCAGCCCTGACCCAGGACTCCAGCCCCATATCAGGACCCAGCCCCAGCCCTGGACCCCAGTGCAGGTGCTGGGCTGCCTGTCTCTCACTGCCCCCTTGGCTCTGCTTGGCTGCCAGCACGGCTGGTGTCGGACTCGCACGTGGGTCTGCCTCTGGGGAGGCAAAAAGCAGGTGGGAGAAACACAAGGTTGCTCACGCAGCATTTGCTGTCCCCTGCCCAAGGCACTGGTATGGCTGTGTCCTCTGGTGCTGTGCCCATGCTGGGGCTAGGGGAAGGGAAGTGGTCCTGCTTGCGGATCCCCCATCCCTGACCTACCAACAAGCCCCCCAGCTCATCCTGCCCTCACTCAGCCCTATAGATGCTCCCCTGCCCAGGAGGCACCCAGCATGGGCACCAGGCCCTGCTAGGTCATGCCCAATTTCACTGCGGGCGCAGCAGCTCCAACCAGGCTCAGGCACAGCTGGGCACCGCAGGGTGGGTGCAGCCTTTTGTTCCAGGCAAACGGGGCTCGGGCCAGGGCGGGTGGCAGTTCCCGGCCGTGCCAAGGTTGACAGCCTGGGATCCCCATCCTGTCCCTGCAGCGGCTTGATTTGTGGTGCCATAACCTCGCAGTACCTGCTGGAGAAATCCCGCGTGGTGTTTCAGGTGGGTGGAGAGCCGGCCGGGAGCTCTGCTTGCACCGCCACCCATCTCAGCTCGGCCCTCTGCTCCACAGGCCAAAAATGAGCGCAACTACCACATCTTCTATGAGATGCTGGCCGGCCTCCCTGCCCAGCAGCGGCAGAAATACTGCCTCCAGGACGCAGAGACCTACTACTACCTGAACCAGGTGGGTCGCCTGCCCCGTGTGCCTGGACACTGGACTCAGGGCTGTTGAAGCCAGAACGAAGCCACCAGGGTACCTGCGGGCCGGTGGGGAGGATGCTCTGGGCAGAGCTCGGAGTAGGGTGTCCTCACTTGCTAGGGTCCCTGCGGTGGCCAGGGCCAGCCCAGCCATGTGCTGCCCTGACAGCGCATCTGTGGGATTCTTCCAGGGCGGGAACTGTGAGATCCCTGGCAAGGACGATGCTGAGGATTTCCGGCGGCTGCTCAATACCATGGAGGTCCTGAGCTTCAGCGTTGAGGAACAGAACAGCATCTTCCGCATCCTGTCCTCCATCCTCCACCTGGGCAACGTCTACTTCGAAAAATACGAGGTATCAGGGAGGGGACGGGGCTGGCGGCAGCCTTGGAGCAGGGTGAGGGCAGGAGGGACATCCTGCACACACGTGTCCCCAGCTGCAGAAAGCTGCCAAACTGGTCTCTCCCCTAAGCCAAGGGGAGCCAGGGAGCAAATGTGCCAGCTTCTCACCACATCTGGATGTAGCGTCCCCAAACCAGCTGTTTTGGCCGGTTCCCGAGATGAGTAAATGGCATGGCTCTTGGGAGGCATCTCTGCCCAGAGCTTCTGTGGAGGAAGAGGAAGAGGAACACTGAGTCTGCTTGCATTTTTTCCATGGGAAAATGGTGATCTTGCTCTGATATTTCAGGTTTATAGGGAAAAAAGTCTTAGAACTTTCCATTGCAGAAAAAACAATCAAAATTAAACTAAAAACAGTGTTTTGGCTTGACTTTGGATGCAGATAAGTGCCGATACATCACTATAACCGTGGGGAGGAAATTCAGCCTGGCCCTGCGGGATGGCTCCGCGACCTGGCTGGTGAAAATCAGCTCAGCTAGTGAAAACCAGCTCGGCTGAACGGAGTGGGCGTGCTCTCCGCTGCCACCGGGTGGCCATCCCGCACTGGAGGGGCCCCGCACGGAGCCTCCTCTCCCACCCTGGCGGCCGCCTCTTCCCACCGTATCGCCCTGTGTCCACAGACGGACTGCCAGGAGGTCGCAACAGTGGTGAGCGCGACGGAGATCCAGACCGTGGCTGAGCTGCTGCAGATCTCCCCCGAGGGCCTGCAGAAAGCCATCACCTTCAAGGTGACGGTGAGTGTGCAGCGGTGCGCAGCGAGCAGCTGCGATGGCTGTGGCGCAGGAGCTTGGCAGGGTTTGGTTCCTGCAGACTGTAGCGGGCGCTGCTAAAATCTCCATCATGCCACATCATTTGCTTCCCCCAAATCAGGAAACACTGCGGGAGAAGATTTTTACCCCCCTCACTGTCGAAAGTGCAGTGGATGCCAGGTAAAGGGTCTCTGCTGTGACAGATCCGTGCTGTGTGTCACGACGATGGGGCGCCACATGGCAGCAAAGCCAGGGCTGGGAAAGGGGAGGTCAGGGCTCCTGGCGCACAGCAGGTGGGTGGTTTGCAGACTGCTGTGCTTGGCAGTGGGGCTGGGATCGGTCCTGGCAATGGCAGCAAGGACGAGGGTCGTGCCGTGGGAAGCCCTCGCAGCGGGCAGGGCTCCAGCTCCTTGCCGGGAGCTCCTCAAGCCAATGCTCTTGCTCGTCTCACCCTCGTTCCCAGGGACGCCATTGCCAAGATCCTCTATTCCCTGCTCTTTGGCTGGCTCACGGACCGCATCAACAAGCTTGTATACCCCAGGCAGGAGTCCCTCTCCATCGCCATCCTGGATATCTATGGGTTCGAGGTGAGCAGGGCTGGCTCTGTCACTCCTTGCGCTCCCTGCAGCTCACCCTGCAGCGGGCATCGTGTGCCACCCAGCAGTGGCACCCAGGGCTGCACGGATGGGTCTGGCATGCATCGGGACGCCAGCTGGGCTTGCTGGGGCTGGCTCCTCTGTGGTCTCAGGCACCGTGGCCCCCTCTCTCTGCAGGATCTCAATTTCAACAGCTTCGAGCAGTTATGCATCAACTACGCCAACGAGTACCTGCAGTTCTTCTTCAACAAGATCGTCTTCCAGGAGGAGCAGGTGGGAAGGCAAGCGGTCCCTGATGTCTTCCTGTCCTCAGGCTGCCCCTCAGCATGGCCTTGAGGGTTGCTGCGGAGCTGGGGGCTTTGGGGTGCCCAAAAGCCTGTTCCTGGTGTTTGGGACATTCAGCTGTGCAGCCAGGATCACTAAGCCGGCCTGCTCTGCAGGAGGAGTACCTCCGGGAGCAGATCGAGTGGAAGGAAATCCCCTTCAGCGACAACCAGCCCTGCATTGACCTCATCTCCCAAAAGCCCTATGGCATCCTCCGCATCCTCGACGACCAGAGCTGCTTTCCCCAGGTGAGGTGCTGCCTGATGTGAAGGTGGTGAGGGCGATGCACCCAGGATGTCACCACGCCTGGGGTGTCACCATGCCCAGGTGTCCCCACATCCTAGAGCTGCTCAGCTCCTAGGTGACACGGGGAGACCCTGCAGGTCTCTCTGGACAGCACAACCTCTGAGAGGTCCCAGCTCAGTGCCCATGAAGCAACTTCCCGCAGAGGACCTGCTTTTGCAGGAATTACTGAAAAAACCTCCTAGCTGCCCTCTAAAACAGAGAAGGGTGATTGCACCCTCTGTGCTGATGTCTGCATAGTGAAGCAGACACCTGTGGCCATGCAGCCACTTGGTGGCAGAACTGAGAGCAGGGGCCCTGGACGTAGCTGTGATTGCTCCTTCCAGCTTGCAGCCCTGGCTGGAGTGATTTTTACCTCCTTGATTCACCCTGTATTTCTGCCTGCTCCATGCCACATGCCTGGCCCATGGACTGTGCAGCATGGGGGGGACACGTCCTCACCAGAGACATGCCCTCTCCGAGGAGGGCATTATTTTGTGTAGCTGGAGGCACAACATACTGCCTTCGTTCACCTGGATGGGTGAACCCATGCCAATGCGTGCGTGCCTGGGGCTGCTAACCAGCATGAGACACGTCTCAGAGCATCCACGCTCATGCCTGTATCTGTTCCCAGGCTACAGACCACACTTTCCTCCAGAAGTGTCACTACCACCATGGAATGAACCCGCTGTACACCAAGCCGAAGATGCCACTGCCAGAGTTCACCATCAAACACTATGCAGGGAAGGTGACCTACCAGGTGCGTGGCAGTGAGACACCTCGCCTGGGCTTTAGTGAAGGGTTTTAAGGGTGGATTAGAGAAAGTGCTGACATGGCTGTTTATGGGTTGATCCCATGCTGGGTGGGAGGGACAGCCCCAATGGGTCTGGCTGGGACCCAGGAGCTGCCACCGACCCTATGGTGCCCTGGCCAGTAGTTTCTCGCCTCCCCTGTCGTGCCAACGTGCTCTTAAGTGCCAGGCTTTGCTCTTCGGCAGGTGCACAAATTTTTGGATAAAAACTATGACCAGGTGCGGCAGGATGTTCTGGACCTGTTCATCAGCAGCAGGACCAAGGTAGGGCCCTGCCCTGGCCTTGGGTCTCTGCAGTGGTGGTGGGAGGCACTGGTCTGGGTTAGCCCCCTTTGGTCCCTGTGCACACATCAGCTTGTGGGTACACCTAATGTCCCCAGAGCTTTACCCATGAGGCTTGTGAAGGTGCTGTGCCCCCAGGAGCCCTGCACCACTGTGGACACTTTCCTCCTTTGTAACTCTTCCCATTCCTCCAAGGTGGTGGCCAACCTCTTCTTCGGCCATGCCCAGGTGATGGCGCGGCAGAAGAGCCTGGTGGGGAGGAACAGCACCAGGACGCGGCGCTACAAGGCCCCCACTGTAGCTGCCAGGTTCCAGCAGTCGCTCCTGGACCTGGTGGAGAAGATGGAGAGGTCAGCGCGGGCAGGGCAGGCAGAAGCTACATCAGGCTCGCAGGCAGGCAGCTGGTGGGGAGGGATGAACCTAGGCTGAGCCATCCAGCAGGGCAGTGAGGGACACCTTCCTCCCTGCTGCCCCACCACCATTGGTTTCTCTCTGACACAGGTGCAACCCCTTCTTCGTGCGCTGCCTCAAACCCAACAACAAGAAGGTGAGTCGTGTGGGGCGGCAATGTCCCCCATGGCCCGCACTGGTGTCCCAGGCACGGGTCAGGGACTCAGTGCCCCTCTCCCTCCTGCCCAGGAGCCAGGGCTCTTCGAGGCCGACGTTGTCAGCGTCCAGCTCCGCTACTCGGGCATCCTGGAGACCATCCGCATCCGGAAGGAGGGCTTCCCCATCCGCATCCCCTTCCTTGTCTTCATCGACAGGTGCCGCAGCATGGCGCCACGTGTCTGCAGGGGCTGGGGACGATGGAGAGCACCCAGATATGGTTGGGTGCCACCACCCATGGGGTGAAAGACCAAAAACCTTGTGGGAATCTAGGAGACAGCGTTTGGCCCCAGGGGCTCCCATGAGCCCAGGAAAGTGGCAGGGAGCTGGGAACCCCCCAGATTTGGTGAAAAAGCCCAGGATAAGCTACTTTTCCCAACGTGGAGCTAATCACCGGGAGGGGAAGACAGGGTGGGCCTGTGCTGATGTCCCCAGACAGGCACCCAAGGCAGGTGGCCGGAGGTCTCCCTCGGGCCGGGTCTCGCATGGGCCCCGTAATAGCATCAGGTGTTCGCGCAGGTACCGCTGCCTTGTCGACATGTGGTCCAACGTCATTCCCAATGGGACCAACTGCGTGGAGATGCTGAGGAACCTCTGCGCTGTCACCCCCAGCATGTACTACGTTGGTGTGAGCAAGGTACCGTCCCTGCGGCGGTATGTGTTTAAGGGTGCTCAGAGCCCCTGGGGTATCAGTGATGCTGTGGGGCCGTGCATGCTCGCATGCTCTGGGAATCAGAGCATGTCCGGGGCAGTGTGGGGCTGGCAGCAGGGATGCCGAGGCTCATGGCATCACTCCCCCAGCTCTTCCTCAAGGAGCAGCTGTACCAGGCACTGGAAAGCAAGCATGCCCGTGCCCAGCACCTGGCGGCGCTCACCCTGCAGCGCTACGCCCGCACCTTCTTCATCAAGAGACGCTTCCGCTCCCTGCGCCGCAAGATCGTCCTCCTGCAGAGCCGGGCCCGTGGCTACCTCGCCAGGTAGGGCCAGAGCTGGTGTCATGGAGGGGCCACAGGGCTGCCTGGGGGTGGGATCGCAGGGAGCCAGTGGTGACGGGCACCCTCCCGCAGGCAGCGGTACCGGCGCATGAGGCACACGCTCATCAGGTTCAGGTCGCTGGTGCACATCTACGTGAACCGCCGGCGGTACCTCAAGGTGAGCGGGGGCGACCAGGGGCCAGTGGGGCCTGGGGGTGATGGAAGCTTCCCTGCTGCGTCCTTGGTGGCAGGTCCGCAGAGGGCATGGGGCCAGTCCTGGTGTCTGCACCTTCCTGAGCCCCCCAAACCCCTATCCCGGCCACCTCCTGCCCGTGATGCCCCATTTGGCCTGAGTGGAGCCTTTATTTGCACAAAACCCCAGTGATGCCAGAAGGGATGCAGGTGTGCTGTGTCCTCTGTCCCTCCCATTTGCAGCTGGGCACCCCCAGAGAGGGCCTGGTGCCTCGAGCTGAGCTGAACAGCCG